CTGACGGCTCTTTTACTTCACCTATTATGAGTTTTACGTAATTTCGCTTTTAAATCTTCAAACTTGCTTTTTTACGCACTGTTGTTCCGGCCCTATTAATAAATGTATAAGATTATATATTTATTTTATACGTTTTATACAAAGATCAATTACCTTTTATAATAGTTGTAGCAAATTCTTTTTGATTGCCGATAAAATATACATGTGGTGTTTGCTTCATTATAAAAGGATCGTAATCTCTGAATGGATGACACCCTAATTATTGAATCCTAATAATAAGTCGCCATCATATGGTCAAGGAACTAGTTATCAGATTACTGAACTTACAAAGTGTATCTGGTGTAGTCGGTGCAGCGTGTCTCCACTGTAGCGTTTGCTCTGCTAATTTAAGTCTATCTTCAGTTTCTACATATTTAGCAATGTCATCAATTGTTTGACCTGATGTACCGAGGAACCTAATAAATAAACCCAATTCAGAACTAGCAACATATGATTCTGCATTTAAAAAAAAAAAAAGACCATTAAAACATACACAACACCGTCAATCCCGCACCAATAAGGGTTTGTAACGCGGCGAAAACTCGAATTCTGACAAGTTTTTGGTAACAAACTGGATATAAAAGGTTGTTGAGGCAAAAATGTATTTACTGGATCATTACTTCCTGGCATTAAATCAACAGGTAATTCTGAACAAATTTCATTAAGGATATTGTCTAAATCAAAAAGCGGTTGAGCATTGTATGATGAGCTATCATATCCATACTTTTTCTATTAAATAAATATTCAATAAACATTATTAGCATATTAATAATAATATATATATATGTATATATATTCATCTGTTCCTTGAACCACATACTTCTTTCTTCTCATCTTCAACTACTTTTACTTCCTGCAAACTATTACCAGCAATTATCATTCGAGCTATTTTTGAAGTAAAATCTTGCACCTAATGATTTAATATTTTTTATGAATCACATATCACATAAGACACATAAAGTACTAATTTTTAAAAAATTCGACCGATGTTGCTGTCATTTATCCTTACGGATGAATTTCCTAATTCGCCAGTAAGGTATTCTGTCATAAGTTGTAATTGCAATGCCGATGAAGAATTTGGTCCAATATTCATTCCACTTATAAGTGCGATATATTTATCATCTTAAAGAAACAAATTATATGTTATTATTCCGATCAATGTCAAACGATATAAAGTTGGTCACTATACCTGTAATTATTGGCTTTGGTGGCTGATATGGAAGTCCAGCAACACATATGTCACATACTTCAAAATTCCCTTCAGAATTTTCTTTCCCTAAAGCTGCCATTATTAAACCTGAGATTGAACATGTTTAGTGTAAATAAACTCCCTTACTCAATTTTAATAATCATTTAGAGCATACCTGTTACTATATTTTCGCGCTTTAGAATATCGCCTACCAATTTAATTCTTCCTGATTCGTCTTCTAAAAAGAATTCATCATCCGTACTACAATATTTTGGACGTGGTAGAGACGGTGGTGCCCAATGCTAAACAATAAATGATAAAATTTTATTTATAACACAAATACAATTTAAAAAATTATATTATTAAATCTTACTTCTTTAGTAACTTCATCAAGAATATTTGGTTTGAAACGCATTTCCGTATAAACTGTTCCGACGATATAACACGTCACACCAAGCTTTACGTCCAAAATTTTGTTAACCGTATTAACTTTTTTAGTTAACAATAATTAATAAAATAATAATAAATTTAATGGACATGACGCGAAATTTTTCAAATAATTTCGTGAAATTGAGAATTCACCATTTTTTAATTCTAAAATGGATCCCCATTTTTTTTGTGCGGAATTTAATACATCAGTTCTCAGGCCTAATAATCGTATAAAATATAAATTCGCATATTGTCGAAATGTCTTTTCTTTAATAAGTAGTTCATCATTAATCGTGTCATTATAAGTAACTTCGACGCGTTTAGGATCATGGTTGTCATTACTATAAGAAAAAGAATTTAATTTATCTCGTCGCGTAAAAAAGCAAGTTTGAAGATTTAAAAGCGAAATTACGTAAAACTCATAATAGGTGAAGTAAAAGAGCCGTCAG